GGCTATTTTTTGGTTGCAGCCATCATTGTTGTTTGGTGGGCCCAGGCTGGGGATTCGAACCCGCCACCTTAGGTGTATGTGGCTGGCGCCTTAGCCGCTTGAGCCACAGGCGCCCAGCCAACCCCATGACTTCTTAATGGCAAGAGGAAATTTTCCATTTTCAGTACAAGTTAGAAATATAAATCTCCACTACAGATGCCATAATGTCTTGTGTTACTTCCTACACCTTATTAGGAGCAGCTATCAGCAGTTGCTTAAAATTATCTTTTAAAACCATTTTCTTACCTCTCGTTTGTGTTACATAGCCAGAAGCGATTAGGGTAAGAAGCTCAGGGGGTCCTGAAGATAGGAAGCGGAGGTCAGGGCTGGTTTCTCAAGCATTACACTGTGAGCATCAGGTGCAGAGGGCTTTCTGCAGACTCCCTGGAGTGTGGACATAGCAGGGAGAAGCCCACAGCCTGCAACTGACAAGGGCCGTCGCCTGAGGGCTCTGCGTGGAAATTGTTGCAGGTAGAATCTGACAGTGCAGCTTTTGTTTCCTTGATGTTCCAGGGCCCGGAAGCCAACTGAGAATTACCTTAGTGGGTAAAACTGGAGCAGGAAAAAGTGCAACAGGGAACAGCATCCTCGGAGAGAAGGTGTTTGATTCTCGCATGGCACCAAAATCCATTACGAAGACCTGTAAGAAAGGGAGCAGGATGTGGGAGCAAACAGAACTTGTCGTGGTTGACACACCTGGCATTTTCGACACCGAGGTGCCAGATGATGACACATGCAAGGAGATTGCTCACTGCATGGTTCTGACCTCCCCGGGGCCTCATGCTCTGCTCCTGGTAGTTCCACTGGGCCGTTACACTGAGGAAGAGCGTGAGGCCACAGAGAAGATCCTGAAGATGTTTGGGGACAGGGCTAGAAAATTCATGATTCTCTTATTCACCCGGAAAGATGACTTGGAGGGTACCAGTTTCTGTGATTACCTAAGGGACGCTCCAGAGCACATTCAAGAGTTGATGGCCAAGTTTGGTGATCGCTACTGTGTGTTCAACAATAGAGCAACGGGTGCTGAGCAGGAGGCCCAGAGGAAGGAGTTGCTGACCCTGGTCGAGCGCATCGTGAGGGAGAATGAGGGAGGATTCTACACTAATAAGGGGTACGAAAGGGCTGAGCAGGAGATTCAGAAACAAATCCAGGTGCTGCAACAACATTACAGAGAAGAGTTGGAGAAGGAGAAAGCCCGTATCAGAGAGGAATATGAAGAAAAGATCAGAAACCTGGAAGATAAACTGGAGCAGGAGAAAAGAAGGGCACAAATGGAGAGGGAATTAGCAGAAAATGAAGCTCTCTATGTTGTAAAGCAGCAAGGTGCTAGAAGGGAGGTTGAAAGTCAGAGTCAGATAGTTGAAATAATCTTGAAAGCGTTGGAGATTGCTTACTCTGTTTACACACGCTGGTTTAAGGAAGATCAAATTTAACGAGAATTTATACTTTCTGCGTGTTCTCTGAAAACCTTCTCCCATTCTACTGGTTTATCAAAGTCAGGGTGCTCTGTCTTTCTGTCACCAGGACTAAGAAATGTAAGAAATTTCACCACTGGAAATTGGTTGACATTTGATTGACTTGACCATTTCTCAACCTGCAAAGTACTACGTGTTGGTGCTCGCTACCTTCTGATTTCTAACTCAGACTCACAGAGAAAAGGAAGGCAAGAGACCAAAGATGACCACATGCTGCAGCCTTTTTTCCTTAGCTAACGTTTCTCTTCTAGATTCTGTCTAGTTTGGCAGATTGTCTCTCCTTGTAGCTTCTACTCATATTTGCCTTCAGGACCCTATTATTACGAGGATCAATTCTTTGCTTTAGGTAAACCTAAGAGTGGAAATGGTTGTAAGATTATTTCTAGATAAATGTCCATTTGTTTAATTACATTGTCACATAAGGACTCAAGTTGTTCCTTGCTATCTGCTCACTGACGAACAAAGACTTGTCTGGAAAACAGACCTCTGCAAACTCAACTTAGTAGGGATCCCCAAATACCAGAAAGGGTGAAAGGGCAATTCAACAAATAACAGGACAATGTTTGGTGTATTCGGGTGTATCTGCAGAAACTCTTTGACCAACCTCAATTTAACCGATTTGATAAGTGACTAGTTCTTTCCTTTTCTTGATAGACAAACCTCTGGTTGTGACCCCACCTCCCTCACCTTGAGCACTGATTGCCTGGCAGCTCATCTGCACACTTCTGCCTCACCCAGCTGAGTGTTTGCTTATTGTTATTATAATAAAACTTTTCAGTTTTCTCGTATTTGTGCAAGATTGAAATCTGTTTTTTCCTGGAAAATATCACTTCTACTCTATAATATAAGGATATTGTATTATATAACATCATTATATAATATAATCTAATAATATAAGGATGAATTTCACATTTTGGTAAAAGTCTGAGTTGACTTTGGAGCTAGACATGGCCTACTTTTATATCTCCCCTTCTCCTTTTCCATATGAGGTTTGTGTCAGTTCTCAAGCCATCTGCCAGCCAAAGACCACACCCTCCTTAGCTCTCAGGATGTGCTGATGGAAATCATATGTAACTAATGCTTCTGAGACCTGTGCACTTTGGTGGTGCAAATCTCCCTTCACTATAAAGAGAGCAATAGTTGAAGTTCCTAACCCTTTCTGCTTTTCTACTAGGTTCTCCTCCCGTAACAAGTCTAGGAATCCCCAAAGCATGTTTCCACGTTCTATCAACATGTCCTGCTGGTCACATGTGACTTAGGCCAACTTTCTTTTTTTTTTTTTTGCTGTCTTGAAATTGGCTTTTCCATGCCCTAAACCAGAGGTGTCCACTTGTGGCCTATAGGCTACAGACTGATTTTTGGAGGATTATTTGGCTTATGTGTAGAATTGGGCTTCACAGACAGTGTGCAGGGAACGTTTGTTTGCTCATTAGGTATTATTTTGTTTGTGTAGTTAATGAGTGGCTAAAGGCAACTCTTACTTTTTTTTTTTTTTTTTGTTTTTTTTGCGACAGAGTCTTACTCTGTCACCTGGGCTAGAGTGCTGTGGTGTCATCATAGCTCATTGCAACTTCAAACTCTTGGACTCAAGCAATCCTTTTACCTCAACCTCCCGAGTAGAGTAGCTGGGACAATAGATGCCTGCCACAATGCCCAGCTAGTTTTCCTATGCAACTCTTATTCTTTCAGTTTGGAGCAGAGGACAAAAATAAGATTGGCCACCCTTGTAGCCTAAACTATTTTGTCCATAATAGGACATACACTTCTTCGTTATTTCCCCAGAGTGCAGATGAGTTTAGACTCTATATTGAACAAAAGTTAGCAAAGGCCCAGGGATAAGAGAGGACACACAAAACAGCACATGATTCCCTTAGAAATGGTCACTCAGAGTAAGACATTTTTCATCTCATGCTGCAGAATGTGGATGTGCTTTGTGTCCACTGTTTTCATCACTGGAGTTTTAGCTGAAATTCTGAGACATGAAATTTAATATCCTACTGTATTACAACCTTCAGTTAGCAAATATTTCAACAAAAAGCAATGCTTGCCTCCCAAGTGAAAGTAAATTCAGGTTTAATATGAAATGAAGTCTTTAGCTTCTTTATTTTCTGTGTAACACTTTGAATTATTCTTACCCTTGCTTTCAGGTTAATTCTGTAGATAAGGCAAGGAAACAGACTGTGTCATTGATAAGCAGTAAGGAGTTGAGAAGCCCATAGGAACAGATCTGAGAAGAGTAGTGCCACTTTGCCTCCCAGGCGAGAAGGAAGACAGAGGTTCTTGGCAAATAAGGAGAATAGTGCATGTTCCCTTCTCCCAAGGGTTTTGGGAGTTTTTAAATCTACTCTTGTAGTCATCAACAAGCATTGATTGCTTGTATTGCACACTTGATTTTTGACCAGACATTGAGAATCTAGAACTGAGTAAAAGAAAGTCCTTTTTGAGTCTGGCTTTATTCTCCTGAGAATAATGCTTTTGAGAATCATTTTGTGTGATGTGTATCAATATACTGTTCCTTTTTAAAGCTGAATAGTATTTCATCATAAGAATGTTCCACAGTTCGTTTATCTCTTCTTCTTTAATTATTCCTATGCTCCTAATTGATTTCTCTTGTTCTATTGAATTTGGCTAATAATTCTATTACCATGAGTAGTAGAGAGGTGGGCAAGCTTGCTCACTCTTGACAATGACTCCAGTGTTTCCCAATTAAATGAGTAAGTACTGGGATACAGGAGCATTGCTGCTCTGCATTTGTTCTTCTTCTTTTTTTTTTTGAGACAGAGTCTCACTATGGCACTATGACTAGAGTACCATGGTGTCATAGCTCACAGCAACCTCAAGTTCTTGAGCTCAAGCAATCCTTTTGCCTCAGTTTTTCTATTTTTAGTAGATATAGGTCTTGCAATTGCCCAGGCTGCTCTTGAACTCCTGAGCTCAAGCTATCCACCCTCCTCAGCCTCCCAGAACGCTAGGATTACAGGCATGAGTCATCGAGGCAGGCCTGCATTTTTTCTTCTTAAGAGAAAAAGCTCAGATCTTTACATTTAGAACTTTCTTCTTTCCTAATGGAAGGGTATAAAGCTATAAAATTTCTATCCGTGTGTGTCTGCCCACAGTGTTACTTGGAGAGGTGGTAAGAGGAATTATTGTTTCAGTTACCAAAAGTTTTGTTAGAAAATTGGGAAAAATATGAAACATTTAAATGTTTATAAAATATGAAAGATCTTCAATTAAGGCATATTTTGAGTGAAATATTTTGAGTTTCATCATTAACTCAGCTGGTAGCTACTGTCCCCAGCAACTGAGAGTCCAGAACAAAAGAGCACCAGCAGAAGATCCACCTTCACAAGTCCACCAGTGCTGCCTCACCGTAAGGGCATGGGTGTATGGCAGGCTTCAAGGACACAACCACTATGTGAAAGATTAATAGCTTTTGGTGCTTAGAGTGCTTAGAGTTCCTGGGGAATGTTCTGTCTTAAAGTATTTCCTACTTTTATTTTTACTTTTCAAAAACAGTGAACAGTTTTCTCTCCTTTTTGGCCTGAGGTAACCAGTTATAACCTACACTTTTGCTTTCTCATTCGCATCTATAGGCACCTCTGACGGTCTCTTTCTGGCTGTTCCACCTGGGTGTTACTTTGTCCGTCAATCCTCTCCACTCTCACTCTTTAAAGAAAGAGGCTGACACATCAAGTTTCTCAGAAAGAAATATTTGCTAAGGACTTAAAAACAGAAGCCATGTCTCAGATGGTTATAAGATGGTGAATCCCCACACCTGCCTTCCAGAAAGTTCCCTTATTCATAGGAGGCATTTAGCATGAAACATGTGTCACTAGTCACATCTCAGACTTTCTTGCCAAGACTTGTGACCACTAAATAATTTAGATGAGCCCCCTGGGGGGGCATTATCTATGTATAGACATTGTGTAGAGACCTTACTACAGAATACATTGGTATGTATGGATTGACATTTGTCATTAAGGCAGTTTTGCTTCAAGTTTTGCTTCAGTTATGCTAGCAATGGCCGTCTTCCTACTGGATCATACCCTGTCTTTTGAGAATATTTTCTGAAAGAGCCCCTGGATGGTACCACTAAAATCCCATTAGCCAGAACATAGTTGGGTACACCCACTGCAAGAAAGGTAGGGAATATGCATGTTATAATGGATGGTTACATGTTTGGCTAGTAAAAAAAGAGGAAAATTGAACATGGGGGAAAAACAAAGTCTGTATTGTTTCCACAAGCATTGAAGTGCTCATTCAGATAAAGATACATAGGGGATTTCTGTTTTTCAAAATATTAATGACATAGAGAGATATTACTGATATTTATAAATTCTTCTTGAGATAATAGTTACCTTTGTAGGAAAAATGACCAAACAAGCTTGTGGAATTGAGTAACTAGAGACTATATAAGTCAATGGCTTCCTGCGCAAAAATTTGGAAGCAGCCTGCATGACAAAATTTAACATAGATTGCATTTAGAACATAAGAAGAAATGTAAAAATTTTATTTTCTTTAAGTTTGTTTTTAGCATTTCATTTTTTTAAAGATTCAGATTAATAGGAGGATATATACAGTTAGGTTACATAGTTTGCTTTTGTAAGGTTAAAATCTAAGTTATAATTGTGTCCTTTATCTAGGAAGTGTGCCACATACCTGTGCAATGCATTTGTTGAGTGGGAACTTGTCTACCCCTTTCCCTTTTCTACTTGAAATTTAAATAAGTTTTTCTCTCATGTGAGCATGTAGCTGTTAACCTACTAGTTTTAATTTAGTACCGAGTACATGTGATGCTTGTTTGTCCATTCTCACAATACTTTGCCTAGGAGAATGTTCTCCAAATCTGTTGTTACAAAAGATGCACAATCTCTATCTTTTTATAGCTGAATATAAATACTACTAGTCTTTGTCCTTTAGTTTCCAGGTGTGTTTACTTTGCTGGGTGTCCATTGTATAGGTCTGTATATAGTACAGGTCTGAGTACTTACAGCAGAGCAGGTCTTATAGTGGCAAAATTTCCTCAACATTTGCTTGTCAGTAAAAGAATGGATTTCTCTATCAAATATAAAACTTAGTTACAGTTTCTTAGATAAAGAATCCTAGCCTGATAGTTGGTTTGTTTGAGAAGAGGGAAGGTAGGATCCCATGCTCTTCTGGCTTATAAAGTTTCTACTGAAAAGTCAGCTGTTAACCTTGTAGGTTTTCCCTTGAAGAATATACCCAGGCTAACAAGGCTATCATCCCCTGACAAAATTCTTTCTTTCTTTTTGTTTTTTCTTTTGGAGACAGGGTTTCATTCTGTTATCCAGGCTTGAGTGCAGTGGTACAATCACAGCTCACTGCAGCCTTGACCTCCTGGCCTCCAGTAAACCTCCTACATCAGCCTCACAAGTAGCTAGGACTACAGGGGTGCTCCACCAAAACAATTAGCTCCACTGGCTAATTTTTTTTTTTTTTTTGTATTGCTAAGGCTAGTCTTGACTTCCTGGCTTCAAGAAATCATCCCACTTCAGCCTCCCAAAATGCTGGAATTACAGGATTGAGCTACCATGCCTTGGCCTCCTTTGACAAAATTCTATTATCTTTGAATGTAAGAAGGTGATTATTACTGCAGGGTTTTTTCCCTGTATTTTATGAAGCAAATATTACATTTTCAAAAAACCCCCCAAAACAGAAACCTCAGGCCTTAGCATGCATCAGAGCCCCCTGATAGTTTCCAACTCAGTAAGTGTGGGGTGGAGCCTAAGGATTTGCCTTCCTAACCAGTCCCCAGATGTTGCTATTT